ATGTGCTGGGGCGCCGCGGGCTGGACTTGGGGCTGCACATTTTGCGAAGAAGTAGAGCTGTTTATTTGGGGAAAATATTTTTGTTTTTTTATTTATTGGTCTTTGGAGAAGAAAGATCACCTGCCTGACTATGCTTTGCTCTCGGAGGAGGGGGCATCGATCTGATCTCTCCGCTTGAACACAGAGACATTAGAGTTAAATCTAACTTTGAAAGTGAGAGTGAACTAAGGAGATGAAATGTTCATTTGGGAAGACGGACAGCCCTCCCACCCTCATTACAGACGCTCCCAGAGGCCAGAGAAGTAGAAACATCTCACCCTTTTCACAAAGATTTGAGCATCTGCCAAACTGCCAGGCAGAAGATGGGTCTTTTTGTCACATTCCCACTGTGTGACCTTGGGCAAGTTACACTGACTTACACTGACTTACACTGGAGATCATTCCCGACAGGCCACCCTAATGAGGAAAGAATAGGGATCAGACGCCAAGGTGCCCTGAGAACGCCTGGGAGATGTTAATGAGTCATTTTCGTTCCCTGGTGGATTAAGAACCGTGGACAGAGGCAAAGCCAGCCTAACAGCTGCTGGGAGACCGCCAGGGGAAAGCTGAGGGCTTCTGAGCGAGGTAGATGCAAACTCTCCAAGCAGGGCAAAGGCAACAAGGGAAGGGGTTCTTGTAGGGGTCAATATTTAGCTGGGAAGACTCCCTGGAACCCGAGCCCAGCTTTCTGGCTTTTTAGAAGAAGTGCTTCTGAGAAGGGAAGGATGAAAGAAAAAGGTAAAAAGGTCTCTTATTCTGCAATAGCTTTGAGAAACAAGGGCAGTTGTCATTTTCTCCACTGTAGAGAAAATGCAAGGCTAGCTAGGGTCAGTTGCTCCTCCCAGGATGGCCAGCACCGGTCTTGGACACTCTTCAAAGAGGGGATTCTCACTGGCTTGGCCTCCTCCTGCTGGCCCGCTCCCTTTTATAGTTCAGAACACAAAGGCCCCTCAGCTACTTGCTGGCCAAGCAAGCACTAACTTTCTCTGAGCCATGTAGGATGACCCACCTATCCTGTAGATATGAAGGCAAGCTGACCGGAACATAGGTTACTCCACTCACTAGACCCAAGGGCAAGGTAGGGTCCTTTTCCTTCAGGCTCCACAATTTCTCTTGTGAAGTAGGAGCCGTTAAGATTGGAGGCCAGGTTTAGGGTTGCTGTCCCCACAATCCTCGGTGAGCTGTGAGCAGAGCTGGCCATAGCCGGCCCTCCCTTGCTGGAAAAGACAGTGGGTCGAGGTACCTACCCTCTGAGTACACTCTCCAGGGTGAGTCAGCCCTGCAGCTGCTGGCTGCTCACAGTGCAGGCCTGAGTGAGTCACCTGGTGCCCTAGAGCCAGGTGCTTCTATCCTGGGCTCTATGTGGCTGGTGGCAAAAGCCCAACAGACTTAGATGCCTGAAAACCTGCCCCTAAGTTTGGCCCTGATTTCAGTACATTCTATTTCTAGCTCCTGTTCATGTAAGACAATGCTAAGGACAAGAACGCGCCTCAGCCCATGGTCACTACATTTATTTAATAAAAATACTCAAAAATTTTTGGGGGGGGGAGTGTTTTGAGACACAGTCTCACTCTGTGGCATCAGACTCAAAGCTCACCTGTCTCAGCCCACCTGTCTCAGCCCACCTGTCTCAGCCCACCTCTTCAGAGGGAGGATGGCAGGAATGAACCACATGCCTGACTTTTTACAAAAATTTCTCCAACACCCATGATGCACTGGATGCTGAGGATACAGTAAGAAGTCTGCCTTTTCCCCCCACTCATGGAATTTACATTCTGGTAGAAGAGTCAGAAAAATAAAAATATTACTCAGGAACTTAACAAAGGTTGGAAGCCGGGCATGATAATGCCTGCTTTTAATCCCAGCACTTGGGAAGCAGAAGCAGCCAGATTAAGTTGGGCATGGTGGCCTCCATCTGTAAGTTCAACACTTGGGAGGCAGTGGGAAATCTGGGATTTGGAGGCCATCATGGGCTATGTTGTGAAGTCTCAAAAATCCTCCAATCTTTCATGGCTCCCACTTCACAGGAGATATTGTGGAGCCTGAAGGAGAAGGGCACTACCTGCCCTTGTGTCTTGAGAATGGGCTGGCCTATGCTCCAATCCGCTTGCCTTCCTATCTGCCCGACAGGTGGGAGTGTAAGTCAGTGACAGATCTCTTGGTGCTGGGCTTGTTCCAGTCCCGGGGCTCAGGGGAAGAGGAACCAGGAGTAGCAGCCAGGAAAGGGAGGTGTGGCTTCAGGGATGTCTAGGAAGAGCAACAGATGACACAGCCTTGTGATAAATCCTGGACGATTAGAGGTCATGTTCTGAATTGTTAATAAAGGAATGAAACCCTGTGACTTGAACTTGTGTGACTGAGGAAGCTGGGCTTGGTCTAAGTTTCTTCTAAGAGCCCTGAAACCACCTAGGCTCCTATCATGGAGGAGACAGAGGGAAACACCAGGGGACCCATTTCGGGAGGGAAGGGAGCTTAGATAGAAGAGGGAGATTGTTGGTCAGATTGTGGAACTTTCCTAACTGACCTTCCCAGGTGTGGGGAGAGAGGCCCTACTGTCCTCAAGTACAGTGCTAAAGCTGAGCCCTGGAAGCACCCTTCCTGGAAGCCATCAGGGAGAGCCTGTCTCCCACTCCCAGGACTCTTGCTCTGCAGAAAGACTTTGCCTTTCCTCTTCCATTCTTGCCTAAAAGAGAGTAGGAGGAAGTGGCATTAGGCTGAATCAAAACCAGATGACTCAAATAGCTGGCGGGCAAAATTGATTAGATACATGCGACAGTACAGGATCTGGCACCACCTTCGACGCTCCACTTCCAGACCTCAGGAAAGTGGGGTCACTGTGGAACCATCGTGGGCTATCAGAGGCAGCTGTTGGTCTCCTCTGTGGACAGAGTTGAAGGCAGTGAAGATAGAGCCATTCCTGCACTAATTTCTCATTCTTTCAGGGCTCATGGGGCACCTCAGAGAAACCAGGACCTCCAGGAGCAGGGCTTGGGGAGATGGGTTATGTTACGGTATTATTTTACAGTTCTGTTTCACTTTCTTAAAAAGGATGTTTATTTTTATCCAAAGTCAAAATTATTTATGTAGGTGGTGCTGGGACAAACCTGGGTTTTGTTCATGCTAGGCATCTGCTTGACCACGGAGCACATCCCCAGCTGCCAAACAAAATTACAAACTGATACTGACCCAGTCCCAGTGTTATGTGCTGCTAATCGCAGCTAACTGGGAGGTCGAGACTTGAGGATTATGAATTCAAGCCCAGCCTGGGCAACGTAGACATGTTACCTCAGAAAAGCAAAAATTTAATCTTGGCGTATTGGCTTCTACCTGTAAAACAGCACTCAGGAGGCAAGAACAGAGCTTAAAACCTGCCTGGCTTACACAGCAAGTTTCAAGAGTCCATAACAAATAATGGCAAAGATAGGGGTTGGAAGATGGCTCATCCAATAAGAACACTGGCTGGTCCTGCAGAGGACCAGGCACAATTTTCTGCACCCACATGGTGGCTCACATTCACTTCCAACTCAGTTCAGGGAATCAGATGCTCCCTTGGGTACCAGGAAAAGCTGTGGTGCAGATTCAACATGAACACAGGTAAGATAAAAATACTTTAATTTTTTAGAAAGTTTTAAAGTTAGGTGGTGGTAGCACTTGGGAGGCAGAGGCAGGCATATCTCTCTGACTTCAAGGCCAGATTGGTTTAGAGTAAGTTCCAGAAAAGGCAAGGCTACACAGAAACCCTGTCTTGGGAAAGCAGAGAAAAAAAGTTTTATTAGTTATTGATATTCATCACCCATGAATAAGAGCGCCACAGGAAACGGGTTTGGGGTGTTTAGTTCGGCTTACTGTATCTCCATTATCTTCAGTGTCTGGTAGTTGCCAGTTGATTAATTGGTTATCTAATTTATGTCCAAAGCCTTGTATTATGAAACTCCTATGCCTTATCTTTCACTGGGATTCATTTTACAAATGAGGAAAGTGAGAATTAAAAAGGGTTAATTGACTATCGCTGGAGGGTGGTACTCAGTGAAGAACTATTGCTATGGAGGACTGACCTAGAGACAGTCCACG